ATGGGCTCCAGGGGGGGAGGCGATGGGGAGTTGTTCTTGATGCCTGGTTGGGGTGGAGGGCAGAGTTGGTGAGGGAAGGGGTTTGGAGAGGTATGTGTGGGGGGCAGAAGAGTTGGGGGAAGGGGTGTGTGTGGGGGGGTCTCTCAAGAATAGATCAAGCTCTTGAGGAAGCGGACTGTGCCACGTTTGAAGACGAAGGGACAATCACGCTGCTGGGAAGCGTCTCGCGTCGGAGAGGAAGCCAAACAACGAGAGGAAAAGCGCTCTGATTTTCGCACAGGAAGCCCAGTGCGCCTCCTGCCAGGGCCAGATAAGACTGCTGCGGTTCCCAGGGCCAGACCCAGGAGGTGGGCCCAGGATCCAGGCGCGAGGCCCCCCATCAGCCTGGCCCAGCCTGGTCCACTGTCCCTGGGCCTCCTCCAGCGCAGCGTCAGGCTCGTGGTGCAGCCGGGCTGCAAAGAACAAGCGCCTAGTGAGGATCCAGCTAACTAAAGAAACACACTCAATGCAGACACTGAAGCAGAACCAGAACAGAGCTTCACAGAGGACCCAACCTCAGCCGGTGAAGAGGCCAAATGCAATCTGCAGAAACACCACTGTGCAATATACTTTAGTTCCTTTACGGTAATAAGCTAATGCTTTGGAGAAATATTATTCTTTTGCAGCGTTTCATTCCATACATTTTCGTTGCATGTATGTTTTGGCCAAATTGTGTTAATTAGAATCTGAAAATAATTCAACACTTGATTGCCGCTGTTGATCGTAAAATAATTTGTTTTTAGGCAGATGTTCGTTAGGTGCAGATTGCATGTGACTCTCCTCATGATGAAACATTAGATCAGATCTCAAACATACTGCGCATGTACACTGTAATACAATGATGTGGTACAACAGGAGCGACATTTCAATAATCCTTTATACCTGGAATTCTGGATTTTCTGAATATGCTACAGGTAACTTAGGCTGACACTTAAATATAAAGATAAAGACCTTACATCGCTCCTACTTAGGTTAAATCTACCTATAAATATAAGATCATTAAAACTACATTTGGGATTTTGGCAGAAACGGACGGATGAAAGGTGCACCGCGGCACGGCGCCATGTCAAAGTGCCGGAGTTAAGGGTCAAGTACACGGATGATGTCAGCGTGTCTCAGAGGAGGAATCGAGTCAGGGCGGCTGCTGTGGCGCTCTCAGGTAATACTTAACCTTTCTGACTCGGTCATAAGCAACACAATAAGTGTCTGACCTCCAAGAGCTCAATCAAAGCCTCTGCCAGGCGCCTGCTCGACACTCGTGTGTGGTGACTAAATGACTCCTCGGCATCGCTGGGCTGGGCCACTTCTCATGAGAACTTTATATATAGTGTGTGTGTCAGATATAAGAAAAGGCATCACAGGATGCAGTGTGCAATCACAATAATAAACAGGCCTCTTACCCTGCGCCCTGGACAGGAAATTCATTAAATCATAGCGTTTGATTTGGGAAACCAACAAATCGTGACTGGGAGCACGGAACTGGCTTCTATTGAAGTGTGTTTTTTTTCTCTGTCCTTTCAAGTCTGAGATACACTGTGTACTGTGTCTGTGAATGTATCAGGCGCACACACACACACACACACACACACACACACACACACACACACACACACACACACACACACACACACACACACACACACACACACGGCTACATATTTGTATACACTTAAACAAACATATGAAAAATGAAACATGGACAGGAGGGGAATAAACGTATAGGGACAGAGTTGCAAAAGCAAGCAAACATATTAACACAGACATGATGAGACACACACACATATATGTTGGGCGCATACAAATAAACACACACACATTTTCACACATTCCCGCACATGAAAGGCCCCCAAAGGCATCTGTTCTGGTTACAAGAAGGAAACGCTGTCTGTACACATGCTGAAATAGACAAAACATGTCTCGTTTTTCTAAATCATACACACACACACCAACACACACACCAAACCCTAAATAACATAAAACAAACAAGGCAGCTTTGTGTGTGTTCGTAACATTATGGAAAGGGTATTTATAGCTTTTTGCAAAATACACAAAGCTTTAACTGGTGTCTAAACATTATTCGATCTATTGACTTGAACAACTTAGCTCTTTCATTTAATTATCATTAGGTCACATGCTATTTTCTATTGGTTCATTTAAATATGTTAATACTATTCAATAGTACAGCTAACGTTTTCTTCATCTAATGCAATGTCTAGTACATTTACACAAGTATATATTTGAGATACTTGTACTTTCCCTGTATATTTTTTGTTTATACTCCACTATATTTTAGAAGCCAATATTGTACTTTTAACTCCACTACATTTATCTGACAGCTTTTTAGGTTTAGATTAATTAGCTAACACAAAATCCAAATCAATTATTAAATAAACTTTGACATATATTTATAGGTTCAGATTACCAGCAGCAGCATATAGTTCTACATTTACCAGTATCATATTAGTAACCAATAACTCAATATATATATGATTTTGAAATGGGCCATTACGCATAAGGAGTGCTTTTACTTTTGTTACTTTAAGTATATTTTGATGCCGATGCTTTTGTACTTTTACTGAAGTAAGATTTTGAATGCAGGACTTTGACTTAAAAACAAAGTGCTTTTAAAATGTAGTATCGCTAATTTTACTTATGGTAATAAATCTATGAGTACTTCTTCCACCCCTGAATATTTTAAATGTGTACTGCATCTACCCTCTGGGCTACTTACAGGCCTTTTGACGGGCAGGGGTGCCAGAGCCACTGGATGTGTGGAGGCGGGACTCCGTGAGACGTGCAGTGGAGCGCTGTTCTGCTCCCTCTGGGCACCGAGCCGGGGTCCTGCAACGATACCGCCTTCTCCCCTATCTGAGGACTCACTGCCAGACAAGAAGCACAATCAAACATTTAGAAAACGACATGAATTATAAGAAAAAAGTTGTGTTCAGTGGGTGATTACTCAAATGTCTCACCGTTGACCACAAGTGTGAGGGTGAGATTTTGGTAGAGTCCATGTTCCAGGATTCGTACCAGGACAGTGTATTTCCCAGCATCCTCCTCTGCCACGTCCCGGATCACCAGAGAGGTCCCGTCCATGTGGTATCTGGAGCATTGCTCCGCTGCCACCATGCCGTCCTTCAACCTTTCAGAAAAGAAAGACCACTGAGCAAAGTTTCAGGGAAAATCTTTCGGAGTTACTCCAGAATGACTCAATGCTTAAAGAGGCCCATTATGTTTGGGGGTTTCCCTTTCCTGTAGTGTTGTATAGGTTTTTGTGCATATCAATGGTCTGCAAAGGCTAGAATCCCTGTGTTCCCAACAGAGGAAGTTTGTCTCCCGCATTCCCCCCCCCCTGCCTGAAACGCCCCCTTTAAGCAACATCTATGACAGTGGTTCTCAACTGGTCAGGCCTCGGGACCCACTTTTTACTTGGTCAATAAATCGCGACCCAACATTTTGAAGCACTCAAAGCTATTCAACAACAAATCGTGCTGTAATATACGCTTTTCAGCATACACTATTCATTAAAGTGAAGTACAGTGCATATATCCCTTCACAGAACTAAAGTATGCTTTTAAAAAAGGTTTATGAGATGATGGAATCAAAGCTGAACTGTATAAAAAGGCGCACATGCTGAAAACCCATCCCCAGAAGGGGGGTCTGGGGGATACACTCTGAGAAGAAAATAAATAAATCTATACCCGACATATTAATAATATTTTATGCCATTGTTTGTTTTTCACTTTGTTCTGAAAGCTTGCTGCTCCTCACAGAGAGAAGAGCAAAGAGGAGATAGTCTGTGTGAATTACTTTAAATTGTGGGTAAGGGTAGATAGCTCCCATTGTTCTGTGACCTGTCAATCATCAAACCGGGGGTCATATTTAATTATTTGTTCATTTTTATCTGAAGTTGTACCCATGGATGTATAAAGAATAGTTCTCGCACAGTATAGTTAGGCCAGGCTCACTTTATGCTGCGTTTCCATTACAGTTTAGGAACTGGGGTAGTAACTATAGTAACGCAGTGTAGGCGGAGCCGTGACGTCATCTTCAATACGAAACCAAAACCAGCCGTTAGCTGTTAGCCCTCAGAGCTCACAGCTCCTCATATCTGTTCAGAAACTAGACAACACTTAAACAAGTACAAACCACAGACTGTCTGTGTCATGGCGAATACAGTCGCTGGTTTATTTATGTCTGTAGGCCGTTGTTGTGAGTGTGGACGGTCGGGCCGGCAAAAACCAACGCAAAGGTGTCCGCATCAGGCCGATCGCCCATAAAAAGTGGTCAAAAGACCCGAGAGGTTTTAGCTCCAGAATAGCCCGGTTGTTGGCCCCCGACTCAAACGATTTGATCACTCTCTTATCGACCTTACCCCATGTTGAGTTGTTTTACTTAAAAGTCACTAAATTAACATTATTGGCAAAGGTTATCCTACGGCTTCATTGTTGTATGACTAATGGCCAATCTTCTGGTACTTTAATTACGAACTGTTCGACGTCTGTCTGCCGTCCGCTTTTTGGAAAATTTTACACACAAAAGATTTACCTATAACCGATTCGATTGCGA